GGCGGAGTTATTGGAGCAAAACCTGAGGTCATTTTTCAACGAGCTAAATATGGGTTGCCAGCTAAGATGATTCCTTTTGAAGATAATGGACAATTTAATGGGGTTATTTTTGAGTTCGATGAAGAGTCTAACAAAGTAAAGAAAATTACGAGAATTAGAGAAATTTTTGTGTAAAATAATTAAGTTAGTTAATTACATCATTAAAATGTTGAAAATAATGAATTTAGGCAAAAAAAATTATTATGGTAAAAATAGAAACACTAAATAACAGCAAATATAATTTTAATCGTGAAGCAGAAGTTATTCACGGCAATGCTGCAACCGGAGAACAATATTCATTAAAACGAACTATTTATTCAGAAGTTCCCCTTACTCCTGAGTCAGCAAAGCATTTTTTAGATGAAATGGATAAAGAAGTAGAAGAATTACGTTCTCAATATCCTTATCAAGTTATCTCGGCTGTAAGTTATGAAGAAGCGGATGGTAATCAAATTATCAAGCTTACTCCTACAACAGAGTTAATATTACCTGATAGAATTCCAATATTTGATGAAAATGATAATGAAATTATTGGCGATGTAAACATCAGAGCCGAAGTGAAAAGACGACAAGCACAATGAGCTGAGTGAGAAAGAAACGGCGAATTAGAAGAAAGTGTAGAAATTCACCACACGGATGATGGCAAGACGGTTCGAATAAAATTTCGGGTTGCTCCAATAAAAGGACACCCAAATGAAACTAGGTTTTTTAATGAATCATCATCTAAATTTACCAAAACAAAATCAATGCAAGAAATCCAAAGCGGATCAGAAAATAACTCTAATAACAATCCTAACAAAGAAAAAGAACGAAATAATAATGAGTTCTTGTCTGATAAGAACAGAGAGAGAGAGAGAGAGAGAGAGAGAGCAAAACCAGCAACAAAAAGACCAATTACAGCAAGCTATCACGGATTTAGAGCAAAATCCTAATAAAACCGAGGAGGAAAAACAAGAATTAGATCGCAAAAAAAAAGAGTTAGAGCGATTAAACAACCAAACTCCTCAACAAACTCCTCAGTCTGAAAATGCTAAGCCAAATAACTGATTGCCACCAGTGCTAATAATTGGAGGTGGTTTGTTAGTAGTTGGTTTGCTTACTTTTTTGATATTCAAGGAAAGTGCTTTTCAAAAGAGAAAAGAAAAATGATTAAAATAATATAATATATAAAAGTTAAAATTATGTCAGAAAATGCAACAAATTTAAAACCTCATATTAATACCGGGACTTTAGGTCATGTCGATGACGGAAAAACAACTTTGATTTCCGCTGTCACTAAATTTCTCTCCAAAAAAGGTTTGACAAAATTTGTAGACTATGGAAAAATTGACAATGCTCCAGAAGAAAAATCACGAGGAATAACTATTAGTGCCTCACATATCGAAATAGAAACCGAAAAAAGACATTACAGTTTTATCGATTGTCCAGGTCATGCTGATTACATTAAAAATATGATTACGGGAGCTGCTCAAATGGATGGAGGGGCGATCTTGGTGGTTAACGCTGAAAAAGGTTCACAAGAACAAACTCGTGAACATATGCGTTTGGCTCGTCAGATTGGTATTCAATACTTAGTTGTATTTATCAATAAAGTAGACTTGGTAGAAGACGAATCAATGCTTGAATTGGCAGAGTTCGATATTCGAGATAATCTAACTAAATTTGGATTTGATGGAGAAAAAACTCCTATAATCAAAGGTTCAGCAGCAGCAGCCCTAGGAATATTGCCTCCTGAAGTAGTAAGTAAATTGGGAGAAAATAAATTACTTCAAATAGGGGAGAAAGCTATTGAGAGTCTATTGGAAGCAGTAGATAACTATATTCCTACTCCAATTCGAGATACTGTATCTCCTTTTTTACTACCAATTGCTGGTAATAATAGTATCAAAGGACGAGGGACTGTGGTAACTGGCAAAGTAGCTCGCGGAACTTTAAAGAAAGGACAAGAAGTAGAAATTGTGGGTTTTGGTGAAATTATCAAAGCTAAAGCGGTAAGTATGGAAATGCATCACAAAAACTACGATGAAGTTTTTCCAGGTGATGATATTGGAATTCTTCTTCCTGGTATTGATCGTGATGAAACAGTAGCTACCGGTAAAGTATTAGCTAAACCTGGAACTATTAAAGCCTACAAAAAATTCGAAGCTAGTGCTTATTTTTTAACTAAAGAAGAGGGCGGTCGTGCTACTCCGTTCAAAAATGACTATCAACCTCAATTCTTTATTTGAACTGCTCGAGTAACCGGAAGTATTAAATTACCGGAAGGACAAACAGAGATTGAATTAGGTAAAGAACAAACTTTCATAGTAGAATTGGAAAGTCCGGTGGCTATGGAAAATAATGTTAATTTTATTATTAGAGAATCCAAAAAAACTATTGCTGGAGGAAGAATTACTAAGGCTATTGAGTAATAAATCTCTGATTATTTTATTATAAGTGAACCTTTTCTATATTAAAAATAGATTAGGATAAATGGATAAAAAAATAATTGCCCAAGCTAAAAAAAATCTTCATGATTATAAAATAATAGAAAGGTTTACGGCAGGAATGGTGCTAAATGGGAGCGAAATAAAATCGCTTCGCAATCATCAAGTTTCAATTAATGAAGCTTATATTGGATTGCAGCAACGAGAATTTTATGTTAGTAATATGCATGTTACAGTTTACAAAAATTCTCGCATTGGATTATTGAGAAATAATAATGATACTCGTAGGAAAAGAAAGTTACTATTGAGAAAAAAGGAAATTAATTTGTTAATCATTTCTATGAAAGTTAAAAATTATGCTTTAGTTCCACTTCAACTTTTTATTACTGAACAAGGTTGAGCTAAACTAGAAATCGCTTTGGCTCAGCATCTCCGTAAATATCAGATTAAAGAAAAAGTGAAAGAAAAGGAAATTGAAAGAAAACTTCGACAAGGAGATTTCTGATAAAAAATTATAACGTGTATATCACTAAAAATAATCCATGAACAACAAACAAATAAATCAAGAAAAAAATAACAAAATCGAAGAAAAAGTTTTTCAAACAACTATGAGTAAAGAATTTTTGGAAATAATTGGTACAGAAAAAGTTTGAGACCAATTAAAAACTCAAGCTTATGCCTACTTTCAAAATATTAATTGGTATGTAGTGGAAGGAAGCATAGAAAAGAAAGAGAATAAGTCCATTTTCATTATCAAAACAATGGGAGAAAAAGGAATTTGAAAAGAAATCAAAGATGAATCTGAAATCGAAAACAAATCGATCTGACAAAAAACCAAAGAAAAAGTTGGTTTAAACAAATAAAGCATAAGCAAGTATTGGTTAAGTTAAAGTTAAAAAAAATTCGATAAATGAAACACAAAAAATAAAACTAAGTATAAGTTATAGATTAAACCGAGCAAGTAATTTTAAAAATTTTTCACAAATTTATTTATTTCTCGAAAGCAACCTTATATCTTTCTCAAAGTTTTTTCTTATCGCAATCAGTTTTTAACAAACTCTTTATTGGCTCATAGGTTTTACGATGTAAGTCACATATTCCGTGAATAAAAATGGCTTTCAAATGAACGTTATTAGGATAACCTTTATTACTAAATCACTCATAAAGAGGATAATTTTTGTGCAATTTTTGCATAATATCATCTCGGGTCACTTTGGCGATGATTGAGGCAGCAGCAATATTAATTGAACGGCGATCGCCACCGATTATACTCACAGTTTTAATTCCTTCTATTGTAAGTTTTTCTTTTCCATCAACTAAACACAAATTAGGTTTAATTTTTAGATTTAAATTTGCTTCTATCATAGCTTCTTTAGTAGCCTCAAGAGGGTTCTTTTCCTCAATTTCGCGAGAATTTTTAGAAACTATTTTGTATTCTAAAGCTTTTCTTTTAATTATTCGGCAAGCTGTTTTTCTTTGGCTCGGACTGAGAGTCTTTGAATCTTGAATTAAGGGATTTTGGAAGTTAGTTGGCATAATAACAACAACTACTATTATTGGTCCAGCTAAAGCTCCACGCCCTGCTTCATCAACTCCAGCAATTATCGGATGATATTTTCAAAGATTTAACTCCAAATCCAAGTTTTTTTTTGGCATTTTTTAATTAATTTTAAAAGAAAAAGGATTAAAAAGAGAGAAAATATTAAAAAATATTAGTTTTATTCCTAGAATTACGGATTAGAGATGATAATTATGTTTAAAAATATTTAAAAAGGAGATATACCCAAGAGGCTGAAGGGGGTAGTTTCGAAAACTATTAGGTATTTAATAAAATGCGCGAGGGTTCAAATCCCTCTATCTCCACCAAAATAAATTAATGTTAATAGTTCTAGTTGGTATTCCTGGTTCTGGTAAATCCACCACAGTTAAAAAATTAGCTTCTTTAATGAAGGTTAAATATTTTGTTGAACCAGAAGAAAAAAAATGATCCGATGCTGCTAAAGATTGAAAAACTTATGGTAGTTTTTCTATGCTAATGTGATTTCGTTCAATACGAACTCCGATGTTAATCAAAGCTGATGAACTAAGTGAAAATGGCGAAACAGTCTTGATTGATACTTACTATGATAAATTACTTCATTATTACATTGATAAGCATTGCATGCGTTGATTGCTTTCTCCTTCTGACCGCTACTTTCCAGTGATGAAAGAAATAGCAGCTATCGATAAAGATATCCTACCTGATGCTAACATTATTGTTTTTTTTGAAGTAGAAAAGAAAAATTGACTTAAATTTTTAAAGGCTAGGAATCGAGTTGCTGATAACGAAGAGCTTTTTTTGAAAAATTTTGAAACGCAAAAATTTTTATTAGAAGCTACCCGAAAATTATGTGAAGAAAGAGAAATTGAACTAATAATTTTTCAAAAAGGCAACCTTTCATCAGAAGATTCAGCTGAAAAAATTAAAGAAATATTAGAAAGTAAATTAGAAAAACATAGTAAAACGCTAGAAGCTAAAAAATAAATACATAATAACGGAAAGTGGCCTAATGGCAAGGCACTTGGTTTGGGACCAAGGGATTGTGAGTTCGAGTCTCGCCTTTCCGACCATTATCAATTAATTAACTTTTCTCGGAGTTTTTAGAACTCTGAATACTGAAACAGTATCAAGTTGAAGTCATTAATTAATAATTGTTGAAAAGACAAATCTTTTTTATTTTCTCTTTTTTAATTTTGTTTTTTTTGTTGGATTTTTTGCTTTTAGTTTTTTCTCTGCTTCTTTGTTTTATCCAATAAAGCAACGGCGGAAACACTAATCAATTATCTTACTCAAAAACCTAATTAGCCAGAGTTCTTAAAGAAGTAAACCATTCTTAATTCTTATCCCAAAAGCAAGTTATTAAGTGTCTTAGGTTCTCACGAACCACGACCCCAAGAAAAAGAACCAAGAACTATTTTTACAATAGTCTCCCAAATTCTTACTACTAATAACCATCACTATTTAGGATAGAAAAGACCCCAATCTCAATTTTTATAACCCAGCGAGGCGGATGCCGAGCCGATAAATAGAAATTAGGATAGGAGACCAAGAATGGCAGCGAAACAAGCCTCAGCTTGTGGAGCGTAATCTATAACCCCAATATTCTAACTCTCAAAAAGTTAGCCATTGGAAGCGAAGCACTTGTCAAAGTGCGAAGCGTAGATTATCTTTGAGGAGAGGAACATATTCTTACAGAATATTATAAATCTATTCTCTCTCCTAATCCTTGGAAAAGAAAACTTAACAAAAGAAAAGAGTTTGTCAGAATTCTTTATAAGAATTATCAAAAGCAAAACCCCCTTACCGCCTTTTATGAATCAAACAGAATACAACAACAAATTCACTATCAAGGACATCGAACCTAAAACCGATAAAAACTTCAATCCTTATTATCTCTTACATTTCGAGAATAACAACCATCACTATGGCTATGCTTTTCAAAACACTGCGGAAAGTGAAACATTTAACGTTCTCATCCACAGTCCTGAGAAATTCATTAATCGTTTAGTTAATATCACTTACTCACTTAATCAAGTCCTTAATGCTACCTTTTTTCAAGTTAAATCTATCTCACTCGTTAATTAACCATGTCCTTATTACCTGCTCTTTTCCTATCCACCTTACTCAATCTCTGCTTAACTACCATCCTCTTTTTGCTTCTGATTTACTATCTACTTCCCAAACTCCTACTCCACAAACTCAAATCCTGATGAACTAAAATCACCAATCCCTTCGCTTAACATAATCACCTCTTTTGTTAAGCTAGACCATTGAAATCCTTACTTTTTGATAGCTAACTTAACAAAAAGCAAATTCCTAACTTAACATTTTTAACATGAATACTCAAAATCTCACTTGTCAATATCGCCGTCAAGGTTGTCAACAAATCGCCACTCATCAACACTTTATCAAATTAAATCTGCTCAAATTAGACAAGGGTTATATTTGCTCTAATTGTAAAGAGCTAATTCAAAAGTCTTAACCAAGTCTGAACAATTTTCCTTTCAAAGAAAGATATCAATCTCAAAAACAGTCGGCTCCTAATTCTCAATCATCCAATTACTACTCCGCCAATAGCATCAAAATTCTCCTCTCGCTCAAAGAATATACCAACTTAAATAAAGAGACTAAGAAACTCTGATTAACTTTCTCCTGAACGCTCAAAGAATTAAACCAACAAGGAATTGCAGACATCACTGAAATCCAAGCCTTAGGCAAGTTAGCTCAGGATTTAACCCAAGACTATTACCAAAAGGCTAAGCAAGAAGTAAACCAAACTAAATCCTGAAATTCCTTAAGCGAAGAACAACAAGCTAAGCTAATTACTTATTGAGCCAAGGAAAAAGTTCGCAAGGATAAAGGTTTATTAACCGAATTAGAACAGCAAGAAATCCAAAGCAAGGAATATTGCCAAGAAGTCGAATTAGCTAAATTCCATGAAGAACGCGGTAAACTAAAATGCTCTTGCTATGCTTGTCAAGAAAAAGCAATTATCCACAAGGAAATAAAAGAAAAGATTTTTTCTTATCAAACTAATCAAGACAAAGAACAATGTCCTGAGTGTGATAAATTTGTCAAAGAATTAGACGAGGAACACGGTATTTGCTCCCAATGTGTTAAGAATTATGACTAAACACCAATTAGAGCAAGTTTTAACTTACTCCCAAATTCAATCTTTGTGTCAGTCGCCCACTAATCTCAATTGTCTCAAAAGACAGGATAAACTCTTAGAAACAGTCTTATTAATGGGTTATTTGGGATTACGAGTATCCGAAGCCATTAATTTCACTTGACAACAAATTCCGATCGAAAACAAATTAGCCTTCGTAGTCAATGGCAAAGGTCAGAAACAACGCTTAGTTTTTAATCTCCTTAATAATCATTACATTGTCAAGAAATCTAAACTATCTTCTTTAAAAGATGAATGAAAAACCATTTCGCGAGTAGCCGTCTGAAACTATTTAAAACGCCAATCGCAACAAATGAACCTATCCTGAACTATCACCCCGCACACTTTAAGAAGGTCATTCGCTTCTATTCTCAATTATGACCTTGGTTTAGACTCGGCTTCCATCCAGCAACTCCTCGGTCATTCCCAATTCAAAACTACCGAAAAATACCTCAAAAAAGACCCTAGATTTTTACTAACTAACTTACAGCGAAAGGGTTTTATCCTCTAATTATGAACCAAAAAGAATATTTTATTGGCTCAGTAATCAAACAAGAGCGGAAGAAAGTTTACAATAAAAATAGCGAATTCAACGGACAAATTTATTACAAATTAACCATTGCCAACTATTCGCAAAAAAATATTGTCTTCGCTTATGCTAATTTGCTTAAAGAAAGTTCATGAAAAATAATTGAATTAAAGAATTACCAAAGCAGTTATCTTTTTACCACTCAAAAAAATAAAAAAAGGTTAATTTTGCTAGACTTTAAAGAAAGAGATTAATTTAATTAATCAATAAACCTTTGTCAATTGAAAGAATTAATGTATTTAAAATGTTCACCACATCTTTGTTGTGTTTTTTAGACAAAATAGAAAATATTTTAAATGTTTCAATTACAATTTGAATATTTTCTTTGTCTATAATATAACTCAAGGTTTGATTAGCCTTAGCTAATTTATTCTCTATTTCATTAAAATTTTCAGCAATTTTTAAAGGAATGCATATAAAAAGCATTGGTTGAATTCCAAGAGCCTTTTGCTTTTCTCTAACAATTATTTCAACTTTAACTATTAAATTTTTCACTTCATGAATAAGCAAAGGATAACAAATCATTGATTTTATAAAGTTAAAATCTCCGAATTTGTATTCTTTGGGGTGACTTCTGAGGATTTCTAACTTTTCATCAAGAAATTCTTTTTGATCTTTTGTGCAGTTTAATAGTTCGTTTATCTGATGAAGATTAATTAAACCAAATTTAAAAGAATTAAATAAAAAATCAGATAATTCGTATATAAATCTCCCAGTATTATTATTGTTCTCGTCAACTATTTCTATTTGATTTTCAGAAGTTTCTAGTAACTTAGAAAACTTTTTATTATCTTTTCTTAAATCGTAAGAAATTTGTCATTCAAAATAACAATCAGAATTCAAAGGGATTTTTTTGGTGGAAAACGGTTCGCCTTGGTAGTATATATCTTTTCTTCTCTTGACCCTTATTTTGCCACTATGGCTTGTTAATGGCAAATTTAACTTTATAATTCTTTCACTCATTTTTCAAATTTATTTATATTCTCTGTTTTTTTTAAATTTGGGCAAAGATCTCTTTTTTTCTTTTCGAAATATTCTCAATCATCTTCATTAAAATTTGAATCATAAAAGACATCAAAATTTCTTAAATAAAAAGGAACATCTTCTTTAAAAGTTTCTTTAAAATAGTCGATGAAAGCATAATATTTTACTTCTTCTTTTTTTATTGGAATGCTATATTTATTTTCTTTTTCAATGAAAGTTCTATTGCGAAAAACTGAATTTATGTCACGAAATGTGAAAAAAAAGATATTGTCTAAATGCTCTTCTTCCTTTTTTTTTGGATATTTTCTAATCAAATTGCTAATAAAAGAAAAACTATTTAATTTAAATGTTTTTTTGTTTTCTAATTTAAAGACAAAATTTTTTATATACTCGTAATCCATGCCCTCTTCCTGTCTTTTAAAGAGTGATATAGAGATAGGAAAAGAACTACCTTTTGTGTCAGAAAAATCCTTGCTATCGATAATTAAGGAGTCAACTAATTTATAATTTTTTGCAAACTCTTTAAGACTAAGAAAGTTTGACTTTTTTATTAGATAACTTAATGGATGCAGAACGCATATATATTCTGCTCTTAGTTTATTGTATGAGCGCAAAAAACTTATTCCTAGATCTCTGCTTTTTATGTCATCATCTACATCAGAAAAACCTTTTTTCTTTTTAATATCGATTGCCTTAATTGATGTGAAGTCATTATAGGGGGGGTTGCCAATTATTAATAATCTTTGATTTTCGCTAATTCCATAATCATTTCTATTAACATTTTTTAAAGCATTTTTGTGAGTTACCGATATTCAAGGAAATTCACTCTTTAAGTAATTAATTGCTTTTTCATCAATATCTCCTGCTGCAAATGACAAATTATTCATTGCGTTTTTTTCAGAAAAAAAGCTTCCATTTCCTACACTGCTGTCAAGGATGACAAAGTCTTTGCTTAAAAGAGGTTTTGTCATTTCTCAAACATATTGAACAAATTTTTTGGGTGTGTAGAAAACTCCGTTTTTTATCTTTTTATCATAATTCAAATATTCATTAGAAACCATTTTTAAGATATTGTCTTTTAATATGATTTTAGGTTAATTGTTATTACACTTTTTTAAAAATTTTACTCTCAAAAAACACCCCCCCATATATGGATCCATATTTGGATTGATATATGGATGATTTGCTAGTTTTAAACAAACGAAAACCACCTCATATAGAAATGATGAGCCAGCACTAAAAAAACCAACCCAATTAATTCTTTTACAGAAATTCCGAGTTTACTAACTCATTTAAACCCAATTAGACTTTTACTCATTATCTTC